TTTTTTATGTGGTACTGAGGATCAAACCCAGTGCCTCACACTTGCTAGGCAAGCGCTCCACTACTGAGCTAGAACCCTAGCCCCAAGTCTGGAATTCTTGTTAATAAAAATGTGTCAGTATTGGCTCATCACTGTGACAAGTGTACCATATCAGATGTTAATAATAGGGGAATCTGGGTGTGGAGTGTGGGGGAGAACTCTGCTATTGTCACAACTTCTCTGTAAGTCTAAATCTATTCTCAAACAAAACGTTTTTGAAATAAAATACTAAGAAATGAAAATTTTTTGTGTGTGAAAAAAAGAAACACCACCCTGGCATTTGGTGATGGTAGAGACTCTGTTCTGAGGAGAAGACTCCACGTTCACATCAAGAGATCCAGCCCACCTGGGCCAGAGCAGGAAAAGGATGAGGAGAGCCAATGGCGCCACCTGCTGGAAGAAGCACCTGCTGCTGTTCCTTGTTGACTGGTCCCAGTGTCAGAGCATCAATTCCGTCTTAGAACAAATGGGTAAACTGAGGCTGAGGGCCAGGAAAGGACTTGCCCAATGGCACTCCTAGAGAAGCTAAAGAAACCATATCTGATCCTGGGGGTAACTGCTGTCCTGGGAGCAGAATGAATAAGAGAAGGCTCAAGTTTGGGGTCATGAAGACTGAGCTCAAGTAATAGCTCTGCCCTCTCATTTTCTCATGTGACACCCGTGTGTGCCAGGAGCTAGGAAACCGAAGACAGACACAATCATAGAGCTCATACCCAGGTTGTGGGAAAACACAGCGAAAAGTAAAATGTCTAAAAGGAGAGTGCAGCGTGTGGGGAAGGAAAGAACCCGAGTTCCATGGTAGAGTAACCAGTTCAAATGGGAGTGAGGTGACATTGAACCGAGACCCGGAAGACAAGAAAGAGGAAGAAGGTGCCAATCAAAGGAAAGTGGGAGGAAGGGCATTAAACAAGAATGGATTTGACCTGTTTAAAGAATAGAAAGGAAGTCAGTGCCTGGATCACAGCGAGCAGGAGAAGTGATCAGAGGAGAGGAGAACTGTCGCTCCACGTTCAGGAGGAGTCCCGCCAAACCTCCTGCTCCTTTGTTGCAATTTCCACGGTTGTTAACTATTACTTTTGTATGTATGTGAATAATTGTTGTTAAACTTCCATCTCTGAAGGCAAGACCTGTGTCCATCACATTGACGACTATGTCCTCAGTACTGGTGGCTCTGAACATGCAAGCTCAAAAACTGTTAGACAAATAACATTCATTAGAGCAGGGCATAGTGGTACATGCCTGTAATCACAGCGCTCTGGAGGCTGAGGCAGGAGGATCATGAATTCAAAGCCAGTCTCAGCAACTTAACGAGACCCTAAGCAACTTAGTGAGACCCTGTCTAAATAAAATTTAAAAAGGGCTGGGGAATGTGGCTCGGTGGTTAAGCACCCCTGGGTTCAATTCCCAGTACTAATAAACAAATATTCATTATAAGTAGTTTGTAATTTTTTGAAAATGCAATCAATAAAATACCCAACAGTTGAAGACTTAGTTAAATAAATTATGGTCACCAAGAAGACAGGGTACAACGGGGCTGGGATTGTGGCTCAGCGGTGGAGTGCTCACCTAGCACCGGTGGGGCCTGGGTTCGAGCCTCAGCACCACATAAAAATAAAGGCATTGTGTTGTGTCCATCTACACCTAAAAAATAAATTTTTTTTTAAAAAAGAAGAAAAAAGGATACAAGCCTTCACTGAAATTGTTTCAGTGACAGAGCATGGTGGAGCATACCTATAGTCCTCACACTCAGAAGGCTGAAACTGGAGGGAGGGTTACTTAAACCCAAGTGTTCAAGGCCAATCTGGGCAACATAGGAAAAAAAAAGAAGGCTGGTCCTGGTGGCTCACTCCTATAATCCCAGCAATGTGGGAGTCTGAGACAAGAGGATCACAAATTCAAGTCCAGCCTAGGAAACAGCAAGACTCTGTCTCAAAAAAAACAACTGGGCGGGGGGGAGGTGTTAGGGTTGTAGCTCAGTGGTAGAGTGCTTGCCTAGCACATGTGAGGCAGGGATTTGATTTTCAACACCACACAAAAATAAGTAAATTTTAAAAAGATACTGTGTCCATCTACAACTAAATAGATTATATATATATATATATATATATAAAATAACCTGGGGATGTAGCTCATTAGTAGAGTACCTTTGAGTTCAATTCCCAGTGACAAAGTTTGAGAAAGATAATCAGTAATGAGACATGTTCTAAATAATTGCTAAGTTAAAAGTAGACTACAAGGCTGGGGTTGTGGCTCAGCAGTAGAGTGCTCATCTAACATGTGTGAGGCCCTGGGTTCCATCCTCAGCACCACATAAAGATAAATAAATAAAGGTATTGTATCCATCTACAACTTAAAAATATTTTTTTAAAAAAAGTTGACTATAAGATGGGCACAGTGATACACGCCTGTAATCTCAGCAGCTTGGGAGGCTGAGGCAGGAGGATCGCAAATTCAAAGCCAGCCTCAGCAACTTAGTGAAACCCTGTCTCAAAAAATAAAATGGGCTGGGGATGTGGCTAGTGGTTAAGTGCCCTGGGTTCAATCTCTGGTACAAAAAAAAAGTTGACTACAGCTGACTGTGACTATGGGCCCCTTTTTTGGTTGCTTTTTGTAATGCTGTGGATGGAACCCAGGGCCTCAGGTATGCTAGGTAAGCACTCTACCACTGAGCTATGACCCTAGCTTCCAATCTATTTTAAATATTTTTTAGTTGTATTGGACACAGTGGGGACAAGTGCATGGAGTACTGTATACATGGCATGTTAAGGGCGTCTGAGTGGCAGGCCACTCCCCTTGTGCTTAGTGCATGAGCGGCAGACCGCTTACCCCTTAGGCACAGCCCTGGGTGTGAGGCCATGGGTTGCAGTCCCTGTGCTTGCTCCATGGCCCACTCCTCCATTGGTCGCTGCAAGGGCAGTTAACAGACATTGCATTGGTGGCTGCCTGTAATCTGCTTAGCTACTGCCTGAGTAAATATACGTGGTAACTGCGCAATAAAATCAGACCTGCTTCCTGCTTGGTCTCCGGAGGTCTTGATTAGTGACTCCACAGCCACACTCTCCTCTAGGCTGTTCCGTGGACCTCCTCGCTGGATGAGAGAGAGAGCCCTCACAGGACACAATACCTTCACTTTATTTATTTTTATGTGATGCCAAGGATCGAACCCAGGACCTCACATGTGCTAGGTGAGCACTCTGTAGGCTGAGCCACAACTCCAGTCATCCAATCCGTTTTTTAAAAAACCTTACATATAAACAAAAATGCAGAGAAAAAGGCTAGAAAACATGACATCAAGTTATTGGCAGTAGTAGTATCTGGATGGTGGGATTACAGATTTTAATTTTCTTAAAGGTGTTTTTCTATACTTACCAGTTTTCTCAGTGTAAAATGTGTCCAGCACATGCAGATGCCCAGTAAGTGCAAATTGCTCCCTCCACTCCTCTTAGGACAAGAATTCTTGACATTCTGAATAACAGGGAAAGTGGGGCCAAGGGCTTCGCGAGGATTTCTGGGGCAAGTACCTACTGAAGCTTTGATTCTTTTGCAGGTCTACAGTGGAAACCTACACTAGTTCACGTTAACCAAGTTCAGAAGCTTGGGAGAGGGCTGGGTGTAGCTCAGTGGTAGCACACTGGCTTTACATGCTGGGTTTCCTACTCAGCATTGCAAAAAATAGACAAAATTCAGCTGAACAGAGGGGTTGTGAGTAGCCTCAGGAACTGGGGCGCTGTATGTAGTAACCCTGCCTGAGGCTGTGATCTGAAATCTCCCACAGGGTTGTTTCTGTTGAGGTAGCATTCCCTGAGAGATGAGATGTCTAATCGAAAATAAGCAATACTCTGGAGTCCTAGCATCCATGAACCCCAACTACCATACCCATCCTCTCCCCTCTGGGGAGGGAACGAAGACAAGATTGATTAGTTAGTGGTCCTGAGGATTGAACCCAGAGCCCCACATGCTAGGCTAGGGCCCTTTCACTGAGCTTCAGCTCCATGCCTGAACACAGGATTTCTTTATTCTTTCTTTCTTTTTTTTTTTTTTTTAAAGAGAGAAAGATTTTTTTTTTTTTTTTAGTTTCCGGTGGACACAACATCTTTATTTTATTTTTATGTGGTCCTGAGGATCGAACCCAGTGCCCCACGCATGCCAGGCAAGCGCGCTACCGATTGAGCCACATCCCCAGCCCCATGAACACAGGATTTCTAATCGGAAGGCCTGGCTTTGGCTCCTGCCTCTAGCACCACCTCAGAACCTGACTGCCATGGTTTATTGCCCAAAGGTTCGCCAGCTGGAGGAGTGATTAACTGTGGCAGGATTAAGTGGTAGAAGCATTAAGAGGTGGAGCTTAGCCAAAGGTAAGTAGGTGATAGGGCTCCACTCTCATGAATACATCAATGCTGATCTCTAGGAGAGAAGGGGTTGTCATAAAGTGAGGCCAGCCCATGTGCTCAGTCCCTTCTGCATGTATGTTTCCCTTCTTACTTGGCCATGTTGTGTCGCATCCAAGGGGGCCCTCACTAGACCCCAATGCCATGTTGTTTGGACTTTACAGCCACCAAAATCATGAGCCAAATAAACCTCTCTTCTTTATAAAGTACTCAGACTCACATATTTTGTTGTAACAACATAAAAAAGACTAAGACACTGGGCAGGTTACTTTGCTTGGCTGAACCCCAGTATAGACATCCGTGGGGCTGCATGAAGATCCCTATCTACCTCACAGGGCAGCTAGCATTAGTCCATGTTGATTACTCAGGGATGGGGGGTACAGCTCAGTGATAGAGAACATGCTTAGCACGGATAAGACCCTGGGTTCCATCCTCAGCGCTACTAACAAATAATTAAATAAAAAGTGCTTGTCCTTCCCTAGGGTCCCAAGGCAGAAACTGACAGTGTGTGCCAACAAAGGATGTTTATTAGGGATTGATCCCTTGATATGGCCAGATATGTAAAAACACACATCATTTGAAGTCAGGAAAACACACATGTTGGTGTGACCTCCCTTCCCTCTGGCTCCCTTTCAGCTGCCTCCTTCAGACTCCTCAAGTACAGAGGGCAGGGGTCACTTCTTGGCAGCTTCTGCCTGGGCTGCCAAATCTGCCTCTTTCTGAGCAGCCAGAAATTCAGCTCGCTCCTTCTGGAAGGCTGCCAGTTCTTCCACACTGAGGCTGCAGGTGAAAAAAGACAGATGGTTGATAAGTGGCCAGTCATAGGTGGAAGCTCACAAGGGTCCCCATCACCATTGCAGAGCCCAGCTGGGCCTGGCCCCTTTTCTCTCCTGGACTTCCCAGCCTCCACACCACTGCTCATCTGCTTCCTCTGCCAGGAATGCCACCCATACTCCTGTACCCCCCATCCTTTTATCTCCTTCTTAAAGCCCTCTTCATCCTGTGAGGCCTTGGCTATGCACTAGCTCAGATTAGCTGGCCCTTTCTCTGTGTGCCCAAATGTGTCCTTCTGAGGGCAGGGACCCAATCTATTCTTCTCTGCTCCCCATAAAAGTAAAGTTTGAAATAAGCTGAGTCTATCTCTGTTCCAGGATCAATCCCACTCCTGGGAGAAAAGTGTCAGCCTTGGTGGGGCATGACACAGACAGCAAGAGACTGCCCAGAGCTGAGGCTGCTCTTGTCCCTGCTGTGGTCTGGGCCAGACACCTCCCACCCAATGCCTACCTCCAGAAAGTAAGTCCTAAGGTCACCAGAAGAAACCCTGAGAGGACCCCTGTTAGCCTCAGAATCAAGTCTGAATGTGGGACAACAAAGACTGGTCCCTCCCTCTGACCATGTCCCAACTGCTGCTAAGACTACATTCCCACAAGGCAATGAACTCTGCTTCACTCTCTTACCTTCTACCTTTCATAGGGATCTTTCCACTTCTTGGATCATATGCCCCCAGTGCTTTTTCCTGGACTCTGCTCAGATGTCACCTCCCCACAAAAGTCCTCACTGACACACCAGGCAACACAGAAGCCCTCCTCTCTGCTCTCTGGCCATCCATTGTTCCTTTATCAGCAGTGACCATCTAGCAGCCTAATGCCCTATTATGGTTCTGCCTCAGGACTCTGAGCTCCTGAGGTTGGGCCAAGCACAACTCTCCATTAACGTCAAGAACTATGTCTAATACACAAAGCGTGTTCCAAATGATGCATGAGGCCCCAAGAACCTAAGGTCCTTGAAGTCAAAAGCTGACTCACTAAATGGACCCTCTTAGCTTGGACCCCAAATCAAGACCTTTCTGTGTCCTCTCTTCACACCACACCTCCCAGGACACTCACTCCTTCACCACGCGGATGCCCAGGGATCGGGCAGAGCCAACGATGGAGCGGACGACAGAGGACAGGTGTACATCCTGTAGGGCGAAGGCATCATCCTGGGCTTTGACCAGGGCAATCTCATATATGTGCTTCAAAGACACCAAGCCTGCCACCTCTTTCCCTGGGAGGAAGGAACAAGCTCTTCAGGTGTTACTGCTTTCTTCTCTAGAGCCCCCAGTATCTCAGGTGCCCACTCTGGCCCTCACCAGTCTGCCGGGCCCCCTTCTCAATCCCAGCAGCTGCCTTCAAGAAGTAGGAAACGGTGGGTTGTCCAATCTTGATTTCAAATGTCCTGTCAGGCTTAACAGAAAAAAAGAAACATGATGTCTTTTTTGTGTGCCCAGGCCCAGGGAACTTTTAATGTCCTATTCCTCCCTCCTCTCGGTGTCTAACAGACCACAAAGCTATAGGGCAAAATAAATCTGCAAGAAACATCCCTGTCGAGTCTATTTCAAGCCCAACCTCTGCTCTGGAAGCCCCAGTGATGGAGGGACAAGAGGAAGGACTGCAAAATGGCAGGACCAGGCAGGTTCTGAAAAAAGATGGTCTAAGCTGGGCTTGGTGGGGCACCCCTGTAATCCCAGCTAGGACAGAGAGGTTGAGGTAGGTAGGTTGCAAGTTCAGGGCCGGCCTCTAAAACTTGGGGGAACTCTGTCTCAAAATTAAAAAAGACCAAGGGACTGGGGGGTGTCGCTAAGTGGTACTTGCTTGCCTGAGGCCGTGGGTTCAATCCCCGGTACCAGAGAAAAGAAGAAAAAAAAATATGTATGGTGTAGTCTTCACCGTGTGAGCGGGGACACTGCAGCCCAGTGATGGGAGAGTCCGCGCCAAGCTAGGGCCAGAGCAGCAACCCGGGTGACCAGGGCCAGAGCAGCAACCCGGATGACCAGGCCGTGGTGACTGAAGAACGTGGGGGGGGGGGGGGGAGGAGGCGGTGATGAGAAGGAAACCAGGGACGAGTCCGCTCTCCGCACCTTCACAAAAATCTTCGTGGGCAGGGGAATGCCTTCTATGATGTCCTTCGTCCTCTCGTTGAACTCCTTGCAGAACTGGTTGATAGAAACGCCCCGCTGCGTGGGAAGCGCGACAGTCAGGGTCACCTCGCCCTCCCTACCGCGGGCGCCCACCTTCCCTCCTCCCAGGTCCGGCCCGCAGGTCCAGTCGGGGCGGGATGGCTCGTGTGCACCGCCCACCTGGTCCCCCACGGCCCGCGGCGCCAGGCGGAGGAGGCGGGGGCCGGAGAGCTGCCAGCTGACAGGGCACAGCGCCTGCCGGGGGAGAGGAGGGCTTCGAGCCGAGGCCTCCCGGTGGCAGAGCCCGCGTACTAGCTCGCGCCCTCCCGCCTCCCACGCCGGGCTGCCGCCGCTGCTGCACCTGACCCAGGATGGGGCCGAGCGGGGGCCCGGGCATGGCCTGGCCTGCCCGCACGATGGTCCGGATCACGCCGCTGGCCTCGGGCTTCTTGAGGGCCCGAGTGGCGCGGCTCAGCTTCGACATGATGCGGGGCTCTCGGTCTTAGTTCACCTCAGGGTAGCACCAAGAGCGGTGCTATGGGCGCTGCCATCTTGGGCCAGAGATCAAGGGTCCTCACGTTAGGCGAGGGCAAGGGAGGCCACGAAGGGCGCCTTGTTTCAATCCTACCATTCTCCAACCTAGAAGACAGGCAGGGTTGGGGAAAGAAGGAGCTTAACTTGCCGCCTTCAAAGAGAGCAACACGAAGGGTTTCAATACACACGATTTCCCAGGAACGCGCACCGGCACTGCCTTGGACAGCCAAGCAGGAGAGCGGGACCTCGATGCCCGCACAGCATTGTGGGTATGGTAGTTTGAGCCCTTATGCAAGGCCTGCGATTTGCTAAGCGCTAGCGCACCATCTGCTGAACAGGGTGATAATCCTAGGGTTTGAAATGAACCTGGAGCCCGTGGGTTATTGGGAGTGGTAGTTTTTATTCTGTCAAGTGTTTCCTAAGGCGATGTGGTTACTAGAAGAGACCCTGGAAGCAACCCCGCTGGTTGCTCCTCTTGCTGGCTGTAACTGGTACTGTTTCCTCCCCTGTACAATGGTCACTATAACGTGTAGCACCTATCAGAATTGTTTTGAGGACTGACTTTGCAAAGTGCATTAGAACAGTGCCTGGGACCTACAAGGCATGTGCTGTTATTCTCTGTAAAATAAAGACAAAACTTTCCCGAAGTTATTGTGAAGCTTAATGGGCCCAGAACATTCGATACATCACCTGTGACCAATGAAATAAGACAGTATTTTGAATCATTTATTTTTTTTCTGAGCACTTACTATATGACAGGCACACTGCCAAGTGCTTTAAGGGCATTATTATCTCATTTAACTCTCACGACGACATGTAGTAAATACTTTTATGGTACACCTCTTACAAATGAGAAGGTGGAAACACACACACACACACACACACACACACACATACACACACAAAGGCTCCAAACACACCTTAGCCTGTTTCCCTGCCAGGGTGGGAAACTAACGTTGGGGTTATCAGATTACAGACCTTGTGCTGTTAACCACAACTCTATACTGCCTCATCTCATAAAATGAAAGAATCCACATAAAACCACGCTATAAACTGTGAGACATATAAAATTTTTATTATGAATTCTTGTTGGATTTACACTAATTAAATGTGGTTGTCCCCGCCTCTGAAGTCCATCAAAGGCTTCATAATGCTCAGCCTCATTAGTCATATGGAAGTAGGCTAGAAAAAATAAGGATAGGTAGAAAGGAGACCACAGAAGCCTTTGACTCTTAGAGTATCATAAGTCTAAGTGATTAATGGCTACATAAAATGCTAGCTTAAACATGCTAGTCTGTTCTTTAGACTAAATAAAGTAATAGGAAAATATTGCTAGAGACTTATGATGTGGTTATCAACCTAGAAATCCTGAAAGAATCAGACCATTGTGACCCGCTCTGTGCTCCCTGAGTGGGAGAGTGGAGCCCACCAGACCGACATCACCCCCCTGTACTCTCACATTCACTATTTACAGCTTCCTTTAAAATGAAGAGCCCTCAACCCCAGAAGTGTGTCTCACTCTTGACTGCCCACCCTTTCTCCCTTTGCTTTCATTCCTAAATGAATCTTGTTTTCCTTGTTTGTGCCTCTTTTGATGCGTCCTGAAATTCCTTTCTGTGTCTTAAGTCAAGAATCTGTCAGGGCTGATCTGGGGTCTCTTTGTCTTTTCTGCACACCCCTATCTAGTGGCAGTTTCAGGACTCTGGAACAAAGCGGTCTCTTTGATTTACTAGCAGTAAAACCTTAAGGAAGATAATTTACTTCCCTGTGCCTCAATTTCCATTCTAGGAAAATGCACTACAGTAGTCCGGACTTCACAGGAAATCAGTTAGTTGAGGTAACGCTCTTAGAAGAGGACCGTGAAGGGAAAGCAAGAAAGAGAGACAGAGACCAGGCAGAGATCCACACGAGAGTTTGTCAGAGCTGATAAATAAAGGCCATCTCTCTATAGTGGAGAGAGGCAAAGAAGGCTTGGGTTCCGGGACTTTTATGAGGCAGGCTCAGGAATCTGAGCTGAGAGAGTCCTAATGCAGGTGGTTAGGGGCTGGGTGGGTATGAGAGAATGGTGAGCCTTTCTTAGAAAGGCCCTTGGGTGGGAAAGGGAAACTTTTTCCTTACAATGGCAGCTGTCACTTAAGGTGGCCATCCAGATGCCAAGCAAGGACCTTATATTCCCACCCCCGTTTTTGTTTTTTATTGGGCCCCTTAGGGAACAGGGATGTAGGTCAATCTTCTGTAACTGCTTCCTGCTGGGAAGGGGCGGCATTTGAATCCTTCATTAGGGGACTAGATGTCATTGGAATGATGACAGAGGTTGAGTGGTGGTGGAATGCTGTCCCCAGTGCCCCAATTTTTGGTGAGGGATTGGTATTCCTGTAACAAAAGCTGGTTTATAGTTTGGCTAGAGATTTTTTGGATCTGGTCTTGAACAAATCTAATGATGCAGGGGGCAAGCGTTAACAGAAGACCTATGACAAGGAGAGGGGTCAGGAGAGGAAGTGCCCACTGGAGAAGGGGGTTACTGAACTGCCATCCTTCAGCAGAGGAGAGTTGTGGTTTTCGATGTTCAAGGTCCTGTTGGAGATGTTTCATCTTGTCCTTTTCTGTACCAGATTGATTGACATAAAAAGAGCATTCCTCCTGTAGGTGCAGACAAATTTCGTCTTTTAAAAGATCAAGGCCCCTTCGATTCTGCAGCACCACAGCAGCTCAAGGATCAAGCTGGGACTGTAGGGTTAGTATGGTTTGAGCAAGTTGCTGTAAGTCTCCTAGAAATTGGAATGATAATCCCTGGTAGTGGTCCCCCGGGAGGTGAGTGCAGAACGAGGGAGGAGGGCAAAAATGAAGAAGGGAAGGGCGGTACTCATGGTTCTGCAGTGTCCTCGTGGTCCCCAGAGACCGAAGGAAGACTGGGGGTTCCGGCCTTGGAGAAACACAGCTTGAGAGGGCCTGTGAGTGTCACCTGCCCCATGAACTCCCTCCTAAAGGAAGGAGGAGTTATCTGTGAACCATGTGCATGTTGCCTGGAGCAAGGGGCCTTTTGGGAAGGATGTGGAAGGAGCTCCTCCAGAGTTTCAATGCATGAATGGGTGAGAGGAGGAGAGGTGGGAGAGTCCTGAGGAGTGGGGAGGAGAGTAGCAGGGTTTAAAGGTGAGCACATGTGGAAAATAAGACTGGGATCTTCCACCAGGGACACCTGTAGAGATAAAAGGTGACGGGTAAGGAATGTAAGCCCTGTAGGTGAGGAGTTCCTTTTGGTGATGAGGAGCCTGGATGGTGAGTAGGGCTCCAAAGGTGAGTTTCTTTGACTCATTAATGAGTAGAGAGGCTGTGGCCAACATTTGTAGGTAAGGGTCGCATCCCCCAACAGTAGGGTCACAGGGGCAAAGGTTGGCCCTAGCATGTGTCTGAGGATCCTAGAGCAAATCCCAACTTTTTAGCCATGTAAAGGTGAAATGGGCGTGTAACATCAGGGAGATGGAGAGAGAGAGAAAGTTTCGAAGTCATTCTTCTGTTTTGTAGCCAAGGGAAAATGTTAAACCACGACGCAAAGAAAAGATCTCCGACTCCAATTTTAAACCAAATTAAAGCAAGCTTGTAATTCCGACTAGCCGGGACAGTCTCTCTCCCGAAATCCGTGGGATAGAAGACAGATCTCCAGGTCTCTAGGAGCACAGTTCTATAGCACAAGAAGTTGCAAAAAGGGGGGGTGTCTTGAGAACTTACAGATGACAGGATTTTGACAAGCATAATACAAAGGCGGGTAGTAGGTTAGTGGTCTAAATGGTTCAGCACTTAGGGAATAAATTTGGATCCCAACATCAGAATTTATGAGGTGCCATTTGGGTTTCAGAGAGGGTTGTTATCTAGTCAGGGAAAGCCAGGCATGGTGAGTTCAAGGCACAGGCAGGCATTCCAAGCAAGTTTAAAACATCAAAATACGGCAAGGCCAAATAGAAATCCTAATATTTTACAGAAAACAGAAATAAATCTTTTATAACTTTTGACAACATGGCTCCTGATCTTAAGAGGTAATTAGGCTGGGTTTATCAGAAAAGTTAAATTGACACTTTTTTTTTTTTAAGTCTTAGGCCTCTTATCCAGCCTGCTGAGTCTGTCCTCCTTTATATTTCAATATTAGCTTCAGTGTGGCCTTGGTCAGAGAGATGCTGCCGAGGGCTTTACAATGTACTATGCTGATAGAAGAAGAGGGGAGGGTTCTGGGTCCCTTGTTTGTCCAGAGCTTTAATAGCAAGTAGAAGCTGGGCGGGGGAGCGAGAGGAGCCAAGGGATCGCTTAGAGTGGAGAAAGGAGAAAGCGTGCACATAAGGGATTTCCTTCCATTTTCCTGAGCACTCAGAAAAGTTATGAGGATTCCATAAAACATTGGGATAGTCAGGAGCCAAACGGAATGGGGCTAAGTGGGCGAGGAGGCAGCTGAGAGGTGAGTCAGACGGGATTCTGGACTGGGAGTTCCCCGTGGTGAGTTGGAGGGCTGGAGTGGCTAGAGGCAGGCGTCCCCAGCTCTAGGCCAAACAGAGTGAGAGAGGGGACAGTCGTTAAAAGGGTCTTCAACACACAATTTACTGGCCCCAGGGTCGAAGCCTTTCTGGGACTGAGAGAAGGGAGTTGTCACCGCTACTTCTCTAGTGCCAGGCTTTGCCTGTTGAGAGTCTTGGTTTTCTGTCCAGGGCTCTGCTGAGGAGCCAAGAACCAAGAGAGTGAACTCGCCAAGGGGAAGGGATGGGAAGGTCGAGAATCTTGGTGCTGGACCAAGATCTAAGTTAACTTTTATTTCTAGGGAGGAGACTTGTCACTGCTATCTCTAGGGAGTAGACTTGCAAGGAGTAGGGGAAGAGAAGGGCGAAGTCACTTACCCAAATGGGGCCAGTGTGTGGATGAAGAAGGAGCCACTAGGTGAATGGAAGAAGGTGTGTGGTAATTGTCCTGGGCCCTGAGGCCAGGATCCCAAAGCAGCTCAGATCCCCGGAGGGGAGAGCAAAGCTGATGGGAGAATATGACCAAGTCACTGGCACCAGTGAAAGAAAAGTAGCG